ATTATAATTTATTTTATTAATAAAAATAATAAAATAAAAATTAAGCTTTTCTCAAATACTGAAGTTTCAATTTGAAAAGAGGGGAGGAGGTTTTGATGAAGAACTCACCAAAATGCACTTAGCAGCCTAATTGACTTGCTATGCAATACATGCATTCTTGTACTTGTATACACTTGAATTGAAAACCACAAACACATGATTAGAGAAGAGACTTAGTGATTCATTATGCACCACATGAATACACATGCACAGTAGCAAAGTTTAAACCTAGCATATGTATTATCATAGAACATAGTAATAACTTTAAGCATATTTTTGTCTTATATATTACTTACAAATAGTTTTAACTCCATTTAGAAAAAAACCAACCAAACAAATGGAAATGACACTAGGTCATAACTGCATATCCCCATCTTTTTGATATATTAGGTGAAGAACTACAATTATAAGCCCAACAGATTTATTTAAGCAAGAGCTGGGATGACATAAAACTATTTCTAGGTGGAGTACATGAAGAAGATAAGAAAAAGAAAAAGCTAAGGACAGATATTCAACACAGTGTGAGAAATATGTACTTGACAGCAAGGTAGCGGGCAGGAGATAGATGGGGCAAAACTATTCATTCCCATTAAAGATTTCAATTTATATCAATACATTAATGGGAATGAATAGTTTTTGCCCATCTATCTTCCCCTCTCCCCCCAGTACCTTGCTGCCAACATATTTTTATTTATTTTTTGCTGGACTAGTTCTTCATTTTCTTTTTAGTACTTTGATATCGATATTTAATGACCTTTAAATTACACTGTTTACTTTGGAAATTTGTTTTTTAAATTACTTGGCTTATCATCTCATTTGAAATAAAAAACATTTTGTACAGGAAGATTTTGTTTTAGTATAGATCATTAAGATTTACTTCAACAAAAAATGGAACATTAGACCTAGAAGTTTTTCAAAATGAACTCTAGGCTTAGTTGCATTTGGTATTATTGGGCTAAGATTCAGAAATGACAGTGACAAATATTTGTTGGAACTGATTTGTAACAAAGGGAATCATGACTTTGAAAGATAACTGTGCCCTGTAATGTGACATCGTAAGATTTTACTTTCAAATTATATTGATTAAGGTCTTGTATATTTGACTATAATTAAAATTGTTTAACCAATCTTGTTAAAACAAGATTATTATTTAATAGAAATATCTGAATTCATTTCAATGAAACAACTAACCAAGTTCACAAAATAGCTCAATAGAATAGAATGACCTACACTTCCTTTTAAAAGTATAGCAAAAATATGTGCTTTGCATATCTTTTCAGAAACTGATATAATATAGCCTTCCCAATATTTGGCTGTCCTAAATTTATTTTAAATAATTCAAGGCTAGTGTACCATGGCTCATTAGACCAGTATTAAAGGTAGCTCTTTAGAGTGACATGAAAGCTGGCTAGGTGATTTTGGGCCAGTCACTCTGTCTTAGCCCGTCTCACCTCATATGGCTGTTGTGGAGAAACTAGGATGAGGAAACTTTATTAGATATGTCCATCACTGTGACTTTTTGTAAAAATAATAAAGACAATATTTAAAAAATATTTTTAAAAATTGTACAAACCCGATTGCCAGGTATGCTAATAACTAATGCTTTTGAATTGAAATATCTTTCAAATATCCACTTGATTTTGAAAAGACTCAATATTTTATACTTGATCTTTATGGGCATGCTTTCTGTTCTGAACCTTACAAAACAATGAAGTTTAGTTTAGAGATTTATATTTCTAAAAGTGAATGGAATTCTACTACTGGAAATGAAGAAACATAGATTAAAAAATAACATAGCTAAAGTTCAGTTTTAGGGCACTGTGAACTCTGAATACATTTTTAGCTCAAGGAATTCAATTTTCTCAGAATTACTGGAAATGTAACATGAAGTTTCTTAGTACACATATTTTGATAATGCAAAATTATGCAACTTTTTGAATTATTGTTTTAAACCAAGTGCCTATTCTAATTTATTTAAGATAAATTTATATTTTTTTCAATTTTAAATTTTCAGCTGTATGAAAATTAACAGACAATAGTATTATAAACCTGAACTACAGTGACTAGTAGATGTTCCATAGACTAAGAAACTGAGTTTTAAAAAACTGATCAGAGGGTATGGAACTAGGATAAAGTGTCACATCATCCATTTGGTAATAAATGCAATGTTACTGTCAACGCTGCAAATACTGTATATCCTTGCTTTGACAATGTGCAGAACCGTCTGGGATATATATAGTTAAACCAGCAACTAGGAAAGAGGGAGGAGCATAAGGATAGCCCGGGAGAAAGAAACCGGAAGTAAATCACGTCTTCCAAGTTAATTGGAAGATGTGAACCCTGAACCTAAAATAAGGGAGTGGAATGCTATGCCTAACGGAAGAGAAGCAGTTCTAAGCATAGTGTCATGAGTCATGTGTAATTAAGGAGGAAATAATGTATTTGCATCTTTACAAATAGGTATGAACAAAGAGAATTCTACAGTACATTATTTCTAAAAACATTGTCATTATTCTCTCACGTCTCATAAAATAAAATAAAACCTTCTTGATTATGGCTCAGTGCTACATGATTGCAACCTATTGAAGCAGAGGAAGCCTAGGTCTGGAAAAGATAAGGATGGAGACACACACAAAACCCATGTACAATACCTTGTGTCTCTATGATAGAAGAAAGAGAAAAGCATATATCAGATAGGAAACCCTAATCTAAGCAGAAATTTTAAGAGAAGTAATAGAAATGCTGTTTATCACTTTTATCAAAACCTGTGGAAAATTTTATCTATTTAATAATCATCAACTTCGTAAGTCATTAAATTCATATGTGAGATAGTTTTTATATGACACATGACAATGAGTTTATATTGTTTATAAGGTTGTTTTTACTATGAATCAAACTGTTATCGGCTTTCAACAAAGAACATGGAATGCCACTTTATAAAAACAATAAATGTAGATGTACCTAAATCAAAAATGTAAAAAAAAATTAAATTCTATATGTTGTAATATATAGCATCAAGAGCTTCTGTGAAATCATTATCTATTTTCAAAATGCCACCAACTTTCTCTGAAAGTTCCTATTTACTGATATAAATAGAACTATAATTTAAAGAGAAGCCTTTTGTATATATATAATAAAACTTCAGAACTGATTGCTCTTATTGTATTCTTTTCCCATAGTACAACTGCATCTTAGCCAAGAATTCATTATGCTAAATTTTTGAATCACATCTCTAAAAATATTTTCCTGACAATGTGATTTTTACAAGAAACAGAAAAAATGTTCCCACAGTATGTATGGAAGTATTAAAACACCAAAATAATGGGTTATTATGCATATCCATCCACAATTTATGTCAGAATATCATGATCTTGTTTATAAGTACAGGAAGCTCACAGTTAGTCTTGCATGTGCAAATGTATAGTGATAAGCATTTCCTTTTATGGCTCTGAACCAAAGAATTATGTTTACACTTCGCCTTACTGTATGCATGAGTGCCAGAAAGCCTCTATGCCATATGGCTGCTGTAACACTAAAATATGCCTTATTCTGGATGCCAGTCTAAATATGCACAATGTCTGCATGTGGGATTTTAAATATTGTATATAGATGCAATTATTGTATATAGATGTAATTATTCAGGGAGAATACTATTAAAATTGATCCTACTGTATGGAATTCTATCATGGAATTGGCTTCTATACAGATGTTACTCTTGTCAAACTGAAATGGTTGATTAAATTGGATTGACTGTGCCTTGATCCTTTACAGTGCAGATAATGTATAATCCATACATGCCTGGTAGGAATTATATACTGACAGTCTTTTAAGTAATAAAGTCTTAAGAATTTTTGATGGAAACTGAAATGAGTTGCCTTCAGCTCACTGATTTAAAGCTAGTTTATGAAATATGGCATATTTGGATGCAATTAAATCGAAATTATCATAGCCCAGACCTTTCTTCATACATCAAATTATGCACTACAATAAAAATGTTATCATTACTAAAAAAGAAGCCCAGCAGTTCTCAAAGTCTATTACTTGTACAATTTCTAATTCAGAAGAAAACATTAACTTCAAAATTTGTTCTGTGCCCCCACTCCTCTTTTCTGGCAAATTTGTGATATTATGAATTCTTCCTCTCAAAAAATGAACACCGGCAATACCGGATCTATGACATAATGACAGACACCTAAATAATATTATATGTAAAGTCATTTTTCCATTTTTAAAACTTGTTATGCTGAATGTGATAATCACACCAAGAAATCATTAAGTTTCTTTCCCTGACTCTTTTCAGAGCTCTGAATAAAATTTAAGATTGCATTTAAAGAATAGCAATGCCATACCTAAAGTGCCAAGAAAAAATTTATGAAGTTAAAAAGCTGGTGTGATTGATCATGAAAGGATTTAGAAAAGTCATGAAAATGAAATGGGAGGCTATTTAAATTTAATAATAAATAAATTTAAATAGTTTTATCTTTAATATTCACTAAAATTAGACAATCACTTATTTTACTTTACAAATATCACTATATAATATCCTGACTTCTACAAACATGTACAAATATATGAGACACATCAAGTCAGTTTTCATGACAAAAGCAAACCAATGATGGACCAACACATGCATAAGTGAGTGTAGCTAAGAAGCTAGATTAACCAAGCTTAACCTAAATGCTTTAGGATACTTGCTTCATCTGCTTTATAGAAAGTTCGGTTTCTGAAAGTTAATAAAATCAGCATTTGTTTTTAGATTACCAATATATTAGTACTTGCCATTTTGTAGGCAAATGAAGCTCAGAATTTCACATTCACATGTCCTACTAAGTTCTAATACTCAAAGCAATCATTTGTTCACAATATAAATTTACAGCTGAAGCTAAGCTAACCTTATGGTAAAGTGTGATGTACAAACCCAGAATTAAAACTTTATAAACACATGCTACAGATCAACTTACCAACTCTATTCCTTGTGGAAAAGGAGTATCATCCAAATCCTTTAAGGGAAATCTCTGTATTATTTTCCCCAAGCCATCTGCTGAGCCTACAAATAAAAAGAAAAGACAAATATCAAATATCAAAATGAAGTTCTAGAATTTTATTTTTCCCATAAAAAAGTTATCAAAGAAATAAACTGCAAAGTAGTGCCATATTATATTAAGAACTCTAAATACTAAAAGCTGTTTTGAACTGACAGCATTTAGTATTTAGAGTTCTTAATATAATATTTTCAACTGACAAATTATTGCTGAAGGTTGTAGAGTTTAACAATAATTCAAATAACATACTCTATTCAAGAGAAATCACCTTACTTATAACAATTCTGTTGCACACACTGTGGATGCAGAATTAAGGTACATATCGCATCCAATATAGACTCCTAGTCTTAGATATAAATAAAATGAAAACTAACAAATGCTATAAAGTAATCTTGCTTTTAAAAAGTATCTGAATAAAGTTCCTATGATTCCAGCATTGTAACAAATTGCCTTTCCATATGTTTATTATCACTCTAAGTAAGTAGAGAAAAGCAGAGAGGAAATATTTTATTCGAATATAATATAATATGTCATTTGGAAATGAAAAAGAAATTACTCACATTTAATGAAAAGTTTTCAAAAGCACATTTTTAAAAGCAGAATTCACACTGAGTGCCACAAGGATCTGTCTACACCACAACAAATCACACTTCAGTTCGCATTGCTTACACGAACATATTGAACCCTCTTATTTAAAAAAAAATAACCACAGACCTCATTTAAGAAAAGGTTCTACTCTTGAAAGCCATGCATTTTCGTAAGCCTGTGGATACTATTCCATTTTTTTTGTCCCATACAAAATGATATTGTTTCACACAGGGAAGTGCCTTCATTCTCTTTCCACTTCTATAATCTGTACATTTTTCTACCTAACACAGTATAAAGCTAATCAACATGAAACTAAGAAGATTACAAATCAACTTTACATTTCCATGTCTTTCTGTGCTTTAATATTTGCATCTATTCTAAATGGTGGACCTTGAATTGTCTGCACCCAAATCTGCATGATTTCACCTTTATTTATTTATCCATTCATTCATTTTGGATGTTTTTTTCTTTACTGACATCATGAATTTTTAGCCCATGCTCTTCAGGCATTTTGTGTATCAAATCATAGAATCTATTTTTTTGCTGAATAACCATATAGGATACTGTTGAAATCATATCTTGATCTGATGATTTGAGATTTCTTTAATTTTAAATTGTGATTTTTGCAAGAAACTGTTTGGGATTTGAACCTCCATTGATATCCGATCTTGGTTTGGTTGACTGAACATAGTTCCTCCCACTTGAAGATCATAGTCAAATTGATTTTGGTGCTATCCTTGTGTAGAGTCTTCCTTTATATTGTTGGAAGAATGTTTTTCTACACATAATAAATTTATTAGCACAATTTTCTTCATTTAGACCAGATTTTTCTATTAATTTGTAACAAATAATTTTAATTTTAGCATTCCAGTCTTCTACAATTAGGTATGGTGTCAGTTTGCAGAGTTGACTTCACAAGTTCCATTTCCATTGCTGCTTCTATGGTTGGAAAAACCATAGGAGACATTAAAATTTGGATCACTGTAATGTTGAATGGCTTGCTTTTGATAAAAATGGAAATTGAGCTATTATTTTTGGGTTCTAAGTACTGACTTTGACTCCCCCTTATATTACTAATGTAACTTGATACGATTTTTTCACGTTCACAGTTGAATTGTTAATCCTTTGATATTGTCAGCCTTGTGAGTTAGTCCAGACAAGAACCAAAGCAAAGGGGCGTTGTCTTACCTGAACGCCTTTTCTCAGTACGGAGATGGAGAATCCACCGGTGGGTTTCCTCTGTCTGCCTGCTCCTGAGACCAAGTAGCCAAACTTTGACACGCCCCCTGTTGCTGTGAGATCCAGTCTTATCGAGGGCGAAAGCGGCTAATGATGTATTAGGTATTGGCTCTCTAACCCCTAATAACGGC